GAGAGAGATGGTTAGAGAGAGTGAGAGAGATAGAGAGAAACATGTTTAGTTTGATGTGCTCTCACCGTTAGGCATAACGGTTGAAGACTTTGAATAATGGGAACAATGCACAACCGGGTTTCGGTTGCCTTGTATGATATTGCAATGTGTTGATGACAAAAAGTGTTTTTCATACTTTGCATTTGTATTGCTGTTTGAATGCTTGTTTCACGCGGCATCCTCACGTCGTCTTCGACAGTCATCTGTCTACGTGTAACCGTGTATGTGCATGTGATTATCGTCTACACTCAACGTCGTGTGCACAGAGATGCAGTGTCTGTGGCACCACAAATGAAGGAATGGAAGTCGGTGCAATAACAATGGGGGATGGGAAACACAACGACAACATGACGACAACAAACCACAAGCAGAAGGGGGTGTTCCGATTTGCCGCGAGGATAAATGGGTAGTGCGATGCCATTCATGTTTTTGCTTTTGTCTTCTTTATCCTTCGACTTGTTTTCCAATCATTTTTGGTTTTTGAACATGAATGCACTGATGAAGCACATGAAGAAATGCAAAGAACCTCAGACGACATCCACAAACAACATCGAAATCGTCAGACGATAGAATGAACCTTCGCAGTCATAAGGAATCGCAGTGTTGAACTCAATCCGAACACAACCTCACAAAAGTAACGCAATGTTATAAAAATGTGAAATAGACGAGCGCTTCAACCAGCGCTCGTAACACGAAACAAGTCCTCTTTGCAGCGAGCGAAAACAACAGCGTAAGCCCACGTCAACACACAGGACCTCCATCCCCGACGCCGTCACCAATATCACCGACGAACATCCCAACTCGCCACTCGACCTGTCCACTGCACCTCGGTCGATGGACGCACGACGACACCTAGCCTGGAAAGAAGACACTACCCAAATACCGAACTCGACATAGTGGACGGACTGCAGCACTCATCGACATGACGAACAACCACCCCGATGATCGAGGATCACCAAAAATCGAGCACCGTCCACGCACCGCGGGGAACTGCGAAAGAAGACACCGTACACATTCCGAAACGCCTGCACGAACACGATGGAAGTCGACAGACCATCAGAGCGTTAAGCTAATCGATGGTGGCGCGATGGAGAAGAGTTGCCTGCAATTCGCAAACACGAAGTAGCAGGAGAGGGACTTACCAATGATGGCGACGTTGTGGATCACAAGTGTTTCATTCGCTCCGCCAAAGCGTCTCGGAGCGCGAGCGCCTTGTCCGTTGAAGTGGCATTGCTCACTGGCTTGGGGGGGAAGTTGAATTCCCAGATCCACATGTTGCCGCACTCCATTCCGGTCGACTTCCCATAGCAGATTCTCGTCGAACTCGATCCCTGCATCGAGAAGAATGTTGTGCAGAATGCAGACCGCGGTAAACTGCTGTGGCAGAGTGTCCAGGTTCGTCTTGTGAGTTCGCAGGAACAGCCTCCACATGCCCTTCAACCTGCCGAACGCTCTCTCCACAACCCCTTTGGCGACCTGCTTTGTGTCAAATCGTTCCTCGTCGGGATGTTGATTGATTCCTCCGTACGGGACCACCACCCATTCCGAAAGAGGGTACCCCTTGTCGCCGAGGATGTACCCGTTGGTTCTCACCCCGCCCGACATCGTCATAGGTGGCCTGCGAAACAACGTCTCCTCTTCCGCGCACCTCGACAGACTGGACAACTGGATGATCTTGATGTCGTGGCAGCTCCCCGGATACCCAACGAAAATGTCCAGAACGGGCAGATCGAGGTCGACCACCACTTGCGCGACCACGGAGAAACGATGTTTGCAGTCGAAGTAGTTCTCGCTGGGCTCGTTCACCTGTTTGTCCACGTAGATGTGTGTGCAATCGACTGCTCCGTGGCAGTTCGGGAAGCCCTTCTCCATAAATGCCCGCAGCACGACGTGTTTCCACACCCCAATTGGCCACAATATCTTGTCCGCGTACACCCGAAGCAACACGGATGCCACATCGCGCACTGCGATAATCCCAGAGGCTCTCCCCGCGCCGAACGATGATGTGCTGCTGTCATACGTCTCTCCTGTCGCCCACCGGTATAGCGCGTACGCGTCGATCTGCTCTGGCTGCAGCGGTTCCCTGTAGAAGGTAACCTGTCGTTGGAGATGTGGCGCACAGGCTTCGCTGATCTCCATGAAAACTCGCCTAGGCATGCGAAGCTTCTCCCGGAAGTAGTCCTCATTTGCATCGTCGTAGAACCGCAAGTCCTCCCAAGTGGCCCCTGTTCTGAGCTTCATCCACCATCGAGGCGTCGCCCGGGGAACGACACCACACCCGATTGCGGCGCAGAGCTGGAAGATGGCCTCCGAAGTGGTGATGCAATCCGGGGCGTCCACCACCCTCTGCAGGAGCAGCCTCTGCCGACGCGGGAAAGCCTGGCCTTCATGGTCCCTGCCGCTCTCTCGATCTGGCTGCGGATCACGACGGCAAGTGCGGCAGCTGCAACCGCTGTCTTCT